GTGGTTGCATTGGACTATCTTAAAAATTACATATATGTTGAAGCCGATAAAGAAGCCCATGTGAAGGAGGTTTGTATAACTCCATTCATATAAAACTATTGTGTGGTTGTGTTTCAGTCTTTTCGTCATAAGAATATGTTCAAAGATTATGTGAAATGACGGTTTTTTATGATCAGGCTTGTAAGGGTTTGCGCACGATATATAGTTCAGCCAAGGTCATGCTAGTTCCTATCAAAGAAATGACGGATGTTCTTTCTGTTAAAAGCAAAACTATTGAGATTTCCAGGGACACATGGGTTAGGATGAAACTTGGAATTTATAAAGGAGACCTTGCCAAGGTATGCATGTGTTTAGGTGCCCATTTAGTTTGTCTAACATGGAACATTTTTCTAACATCCTAGATTTACATCTACAGGTTGTTGATGTAGACGATGTGCGACAAAAGGTGACAGTGAAGCTAATTCCAAGAATTGACTTACAGCATCTTGCTAATAAGTTGGTAAGAATTTATACTTGTTATTTATTTAAAAATAGTTCAACTTACAATTTTCAACATCATTTTCATGTTCCAATTATTTCCTAGAAAAGTTGAGAATGGTCTTGAAATGTGCTTTGTTGCTATAATAAATTTTGTTTTAGTTGATTAGGACATTATTTAATTCTCATTTATAAGGTGCATACACTTACAAAATTATGCATGAATTTAGTGCGCCAATGGATGGATGGGTGTTTGTTCATAGATCTATAGATTTGTAATTTTTCTAAATGTTCTGATTAGGTTGTAAATATTTTTTCTATAGTGTCTGCTAACTAATTTGCATATTTGTAATAATGGCACATTTATGCTGACTTAGCAATCTATTTCAACTTTTTTTTTCTTGCTTTTCAAAATCCTTCAATATTGCAATTTTGATTTGTGGATTATCAAAATGGTAATCCTTTCCCCATGCATATATACATTCCTGGATTCATGATCTTGGATAATCATCTTTGAATCTCTTTGGGATAACCAACTTTTTTGGAGCAGTGATGACTGTTTTCTACAGCAGAGCACATCACAAGCTTGGCTTGCAGTTATCCTTCTCTTTTCATTTTGGTGCACGCCACATTATGTTTGTATAATGGAAGTGTTGACCCCTACACATAAAACCATGCGAAAAGAGGCGAAAAAGACGATTTAGGCAATGTGTGCTTTGACAAAATGCATCACTTAAGGGATCAAATAACCTCCAAATACCGAATGGATGGTATCGTTGTGATCAGGACACTGAACTCTGCTGGGTCGAGGCCCCTCGCAATTGAATCGAACGAGATTGGTCAAAAGGGACGACCGACACTCGAAATTAAAGTGCAAGACTGATAAAATGATCCCCGATCGACAAATAGACTTCATCGTTGCATCCGGAATGTTGCCAACCTATGAAAATTACATTTTGTTTATTCCATTTGGAGTATCTAGATTTGTAGCACAAATCCCAATATAATGCAAAGATGCGCATATCAATAAAATGTGGCCTCGAAGACGCTCGGACGAAATCCGATCGACAAACGGACAGAGCCATTGCGTCCGGAGAGTAGCCGACATTCAGGATATACATTTTATTTAATAAATTTGGATCGTTTGATGTGATGTCACAGATTTCAAATGCGATCCAAATATGATGCGAAGACACGCATCTCAATGAAATTTGCCTCTTCGGAGACGACGTGACGTCCAATCATGAAACGGACTACGTCATTGCGTCCAGAACGTCATCGGCATTAAGAATATACATTTTATTTGATTAAATTGGATCGTTTGAGGTGACGTCGTAAATTTCAAAGGCAATTCAAATATGTTGCAAAGGCACGCATTTTGAGGGAGATTAGCCTCGACTATGATCAAACAATGTCCGATCGCAAAACGGACTGCATCATTGGGTCCAGAACACCGTCAATACTATGAATGCGCTGCCAATTTGTTCGAATAAGGTTTTGCGCGCAAATCTAGACAACGAGCATATCAAGGGAATTAAGCCTCGTCGTCGCCCAAACGACGTCCGATCTCGAAACAGAATATGTCATTGCGACCGGGACATCGACAATACCCTAATTCCACTATTAATTTGAATAATTCCAATATTTGGCGAATTGACATGTAAAACGAGGAAAGAATGCACAAAAAAAATTAGACATTACTCGCAAACCAAGGAAATCACACATATTGATGTTTTGTTTTGGTTGATTAGCAATTTTCTGCCATTTCAAAGCCTAATTAATGGAATTTTCTCTTTTAAGGCAAGTGGAAAAGAAAAATCAAAAGTTAAATCTAAATCAGGAGACCATTTCATGCAAACCTCGTATTAGCTGCTCTGAATCCTGTGCAAAATCCCTGCCAAATCCCCGATATCTTGCTGAAAATATCTTCTCCTCGGACGTTGCTAGGCTCGTTTAAACTCAAGTCCTCGATTGGTCCAAGACTTCTCACGAGCTTCCTTCAAGCTCACGGCCCCCCCCTCTGCCGTTCAAAACCTCCTATCTGTCTCAGCATGAATCCAAAAACTCATCTCATTCTTCTTAGAACATGCAAAGCAGGAGCATCAGAAGCAGCAGCTTGAGCTGCACGGAGCACGTGAAACGGGATCCTTGCCTAGAAATGATCTCATGGGGCATGGTAAGGCTAAGGAGCTTGTTATGGAGTGGCTGAGGAATCCATCAAATGAGCATCGGGTAACTGCTATGTACAGGAACATTTCTCTTCCAGCTATAGTGGGCCATGGTGGTATGGGGGAAGACAACTTCCAATTAAAATGCCTTCCAGTTTCAGTTCTCTTCAACCTCTCGTTCTCTTGTATGTCCCCAGTCAAAGCAATTCAAGCTCCCGCCCATTTTCTTTCTTCGTCACCTGCTCTGCCTTCCGATCCCACGACCGGAAATCCCTCCACAACTCTTCTCAAAATCCCAAGTCCAGCCAGCTCACGCCTTCACCTTACTGGACTTCAAGCCGCCTCCACCTCACAGGGCAACGCCTGCATCTGTTCGTCTCAAGTTCAGCTGCAAAAATCCAAGTCCCCACTCAAACCTTCACCATCAATTTAATAGCTTTCATCTCCACTTTACTGGACAATAATTGGAGCAGACGAGCAGCTTTCCATACAAAGATTCCCATCTCATTTTTTCACGTGGAGCTTATTGTTTGAGCTCCTCTACTAACAGCCTACTTACATCCTCTTACCTGTGCAATCCAAGGCCCATCTCATTCTAAGTTCAAGCAGCCATTCCCATCTCAAATTTTGGCCCATTAAATCTATACCATCAAACCTCTAATCCTGAGGAAATTATTCAGCTTAGGTTGTCTTAGAACTATCTTTGTTTACATCTTCCATTATGGATCTCTAAAACCGAGAAAGCTATAGCTTCCACAGACCAATCAAACGACTCAGGAGAAGAAGAAGACACAATCCATGACCTTGGTTTCGGATTGCTGATAGATATTAGAGGATCTAATCAAACCGTGACTTTATTCCTAGTGCAATGGCTTTCCAATTGAATGGGGAGTTTGATACAGTTAAGATTTTTTTTTATTGTAACTGTTATGTATGTGTATATGTAAGAGTGATTAAAAAAAAGAGAAAGAAAAGGAAAAAAAAGGAAATGTGTTGTGTTTGTGCATCTCGTCGACTCTACAACCATCGTGAAGGTATGAATTTCCAACTCAGATTCTCGTTTTGCTGTTCGCAGCGGACAGAAAACTTCCTATGCACACCTTTGTTGCGCGTGGTGGGATAGAACGCCTATTTGATGCTTACGGCGAAGCGGGCAATCACCAAAATCCTACTTCAATGTTCGTGGCAAATTGGAGAACCGTCCTATGCACGCCTTTATTACGCGTGGTGGGATTGGGGCCCCGGTGCGGCACGTACGGCGAAGCGGGGTCACTCATAAGTACCCCCTGAGCGGGGGGAAAGCAAACTGTCTAAAAAAATAAAAAATTAAAAAATAAAAAATATTTTCATAAAAAAATACTTTTGATAACCCCACGCACGCCTTTGTTGGCGTGGTGGGTGAAAAATAAAAAAATCACCGCCGCGGTGTCTCACAAACACCAACCGTGCACGTCTTTGTTGACGTGACGGGTAGGCGGCCTCTTGGTTTTTTCCCCTAAACGGGGGACACGCCGGGAGGCTGCCGAAATTTTGTCTGAAAAAGACAAGGACTTGTAAACTTTTGGACTGCATTGGACTTGGACAAAAAGACAGAATTTTGACTAAACTTGAACTTGCAAGCATTTGATTCAAATTCGAAGTGGAGTCAATGTGACATGGAACTTGATTTGAGCAAGAACTTGAATTGAACATCAAATTGAACTTAACTTGAATTTAACTCAATAATTCAAACTTGAACTTAATTGAAGAAATAAGGGACCTAAATGACAATAAGCCAAATTTGATTGAACATGAATATTAAGAGAAATATAATTAGTGATGAGCCAATTTGTACTCAAATGAAACAAATAAAAGCTTAATTTGGACATTGAAAATTTGGACTCGAATGTGATTTGAGCTATAATGACATTGAGCTCATACTTGAACTCAAGTGAACTTGGCATTGAATAATGAAGTGAACTTCAAATTGACTTAGACTTGAATATGGCATAGCAAACTATACTTGAACTTTGATTTGAATGCTAAGCGAATGACTTGAATCTTTTGGGTTCTAACCCAAATGAACGAAGATCAAATGAAATGCTTATGAACAACAGTATAAGGAATTTCAAATGAATATTAAATAGTCACTTTCAAGTATATAATGGCTTGCAAGCAAACAAGGACCCATGTGTAAATCCTTTCCAAACTTTGACATGAAACTTTTGAATGATAATTTCTAATATGCAAAAATCATCTTAATTAAAATGAAGATGTTGATAAGTGATGATATTAGACTTATCATGCATATTGAATCATCAAAGTAAGAAGTTTGCAAATGAAGTTCATTTGTAAGCAATAAAAGAAGACTAAGGAACTTGGTTTGATTATAGACTCATAATATAAGCTTTTGGACTGTACCAATTGATTCAAATATTGGAGCTAGTTCATCCCTAATGTATTTGTAGTGAATGTATTGATTCACTAGAAAGGCTCTTGATGAATATGATGATTCATGGTTTGCTTGTAACCATTGCCAAAGTATTCACCTACGATCATGCACAAGGGATGTAACATGTTAGTGAGCAACATTAAAAGAGCCATAAGGAATAGAATCATATATAATGTTCAATAATTCAATCATCATTTGATTTGCAAGCAACCATCAACAAGGATTAAGGACAGATGCAGATAGGCTTCAGTGAATGCAGTATCCTGAAGTTAATTTCAGTCTATGAAGGAAGACATCTACCTACCTACATGCAACAGTAGTGGATGCACTGAAAAGACCAAAGACCACAAAAAAGTGCATAAGGAATATGACAGAGACAAGCTCCCACGAGTTCTTGCCCTGCTACGAATATTACATATAATCTACA